CAAAAAGGTAGGTACAACAAAGCTAACCCTTCTCTTTATGGTAACACTCCCAACATTTTAAAAATTGATTGAAGACATACTTTTTTTTTTTTTTTTTGGAGACAGAGTCTCACTATGTTGCCCTCAATAGAGTGCTGTAGCGTCACAGCTCACAAGAACCTCAAACTCTTGGGCTTAAGCAATTCCCTTGCCTCAGCCTCCCAAGTAACTGGGACTACAGGAACCCACCACAACACCCAGCTATGTTTTTGTTGCCATTGTTTAGCTGATCCAGGGCTGGGCTCGAACCCACTTACCCTTGGTGTACATGGCTGGCACTGTAACCACTATGCTACAGGTGCCAGGCCTATACATACATTTTTAAAGTATGAAGGTAATCCTAAAATAAAATCTCTCTGAAATGAAGCTATATGCCAAATAATCTATTCACTTTGCAGCTTTCAAAAGAAAAGGCACCAGTATTAGTTACCAACAGCAGAAACTACTTTTTTTAATCAAAGAATTCAAGATCTTGACTAAATTAACTCTATTCAAACCAAATGTACCCATGCAATAATCCACTTATAAAACTGAACACTCTTTTCGGCTCAATACGCTCCTCAGACTTACCATCTGACATATCCTTAAGTACCAAATTCTCCAACTCACTCCACTCAGTGTTTAGACGTTTCATTAACTTGAATGCATTTACAGGATGCCCAACAAATCCTTCTGGGTCTTTTGTTGCCGTGCTGGTTAACCGATCTAACTTCTCTGCCCATCTATAGATGTAAAACATAAAAATGGAGTATACACACACTTCATAGAAAAAATACATTTAGTAAAGCACTCAGGGAAAAAAGGCTAGAAGTTTTTGAGTTAAACTATACCTACAATTTCTTTTTAAAGTAAAATTATAAAACCTAGAGTGTTTTATACAGTGTTTCACACCTGTATCATCAGCATTTTGAGAAACTGGCAGGAGGATCACTTGAGTCCAGGAGTTCAAGATCAGCCTGGGAAACACAGAAAGACCCCATCTTTACAAAAAATCAAAAAATTAGCTGAGTATGGTGGCATGCA